AATTTTATAGTAGGTTTTTGTCTTTACTGAACTTACATTGTAGATGGGTTAACTGTGGTCATAGTAAACTTCATTTTTCTTTTAAAGGGAGTGTCGTAACTACCCGTTTTCTTTTATTTTGTTTTAACTTCTCAGTTGATCAATCGTTTAGTTAAAAATTAATTACTCCGTTCTAATTAATTACCGTTTTTTATTATTTTAACCAGAATATTTAATTTAATTTTGTGTATTTGGGAATTATACTTTCTATATACCGTATTGTACATAATTTCCGATTTAAATATTTTTCCCGTACTAGTAAAAGGTAATACTTCAATTTTATTTATTTTCTTACATTTTATTACCGTCATATTTAATTAATTTATTTTTTAAATTAATTTTCCGTATACAGGGAGTTTCATAATTTTCGGACCGATTAGCCTCCTGTGCTATCGAACCGCAGTTATTTCCCTATAGTTTTTTTTTTTTAGTTTTCAATGGTAATAATTTACTTTTAATACATTTTCCGAATACAGGGAACCATGAATATTTAACTAGTTTTCAATTGTAACAATTTGTTTTAATCAATTTTCCGTATACAGGGAACCATGAATATTTAACTCGTTTTCAATTGTAATAATTTATTTTTAATAAATTTTCCGTATATGGGGAGCCATAATTATTTAACTAGCTTCAATTGTAATACCTAATTTATTTTATTTATCCCTATAGTTTTTCAATTGTAATAATTTAATTTTAATTATTTTTCTGTATATAGGGAGCCGTAATTACTTTCTTGTAATCTCATTCAATTGTAATCATTCATTTTATTTAATTTTCCGTTTACAGCCGTGCCAAAACCGTGCACTACCACCGATGTGTCTTTTTTTCTGTAAATATATATTTTATTATCTACTTCTGCGTTTCTTTTATTGCTGGTTCTTAACCGTTCTTTTTCAGGGTAACGTAGGGTACGAGGTGTAAAGGAGATAAGAGTTTTATTTTTATTTATTCTAGTTTAGTGGCTACCTAGTTAGCAGTGACCGCCTGGAAATATTTTTAACTCCACTGAGTTTACATTGAGTACACTCTGGTGTACTACAGGGTCGCAGAGCAAACTGTGATACCAAAACTGGCGCCTGAGCAACCCCTATTTGGGAATCACCATCTTAGCGCCACACAGGCTCCCTGATTCACTGTAGGTGAACCAGAAGCCTGTCACAGTTCCTCCAGATTTTATGGTAACCAAGTGGCTAAGACAGCTGATGACAAGTGCATAATAATATACTTTGGGGTGATGGATACAACTAAACATACCATGTTTCATTGTGACAGATATTAAATGACGATGACTTGGTAATAATTATGCTGCAAGATGGGCAGCGGCTCAGCTTAGCAGCTAATCTTATTGTGTATCGATATTTGCAGTCAAGCCAGACCTATCGCAGTTAGCAGTTTATTGTGGGTGACCATTTTAATTATAGTCGACGTACGTTTGAACAAACTGCTCGATTAGTTACATACCACAGTGGGTAGGAGTAGTTCCAATGATTACGAGATACAGTGTGGGGTGTGCTATCTTTTCGAAAGAGATGTAATGCCATCGGTCCCGATTCCATGGATGTTGGCTCATTAGAGATCTCTAACTCTGGTGAAAATAACAGGAGATTCGGTTAAATTTCTGGTATTTGTGGGTAGCGTGCTCAACAGCGTCGGTGTTTAAACCTCTTAGTTGGAAATAGGCTGACGTTAAATAAATTAGTATAGAAAATGCTGCGAGATAGAACACATTTAACACCGTACCAAATTGTATTAGGACAACTAATATAAACAAATAAAAAGAAAGGCTTTATCTGGCCAATACACAAGTAATATAACCAAACAAAAGAGAAATAAGAAAGAAAAACTTAGTGGGCCCAATAATGGTACTAGCTGACGGTTTCCGGGCACTACTAGATGAGTACGGAAGAGGGTTATTTTAGTAGGTCTCTTACACTACCGGGTTAGGGCAGAATTATATCCGTAGTAGGATTTTCCACCAAACAATAAGAAAAACAAAAACTAAATACTTAGTGTAGGATTTTACAATAAATGAAATATAACTAAGTTTCTATTTTTTTTTATTACAGGGTTAATATTTGTTATTGATTTGTAGTTAATTGTATTTTATTTTAATTACTCATCTAATAAAATATATTTAAAAATATTTTTTTTTGTTTTGTTAAATTGGAAAAATATCTGATTGATTTCGGTAAATACATAATTACATAATGTAACTTGATTAAAACCAGTAAAACGTAATTGAAATAATTCAATTAGAAAATATTAAAGTATTAAAATGATAAAATAGTAAAATTGTTATTGAATTTGTCATTGCATAAAATAAAACTGATTCTTTACCGATTAATTACATTCTAAAAAATATATATAATATAATGACATTAAAATAGTAAAATCGTAATTAAATTAATCATTGCATAAACTAAAAATAATTATATTGTCACGTTAAGCGTGTTTTTAATAAAAAATAGTCGCGATTTACGTGTTTTAAATAATTATGGGACTATCTGTGTCTTGGGGGTTGTCAAGCAAGATATATAAATTCGGACCTTAGTCGTATAAGGACTCTATATAGCCTTAAACTTGGCCTTAAACACAGTGTTCTTAAAACAAATATAATTTAAAACGATTATACAAAACTTATCCTAACTCGGCATACACAAATATAAGACTCAATATAATAACAAATAGACAATAAAAGAATAACTTACCAACTTCAACAAATATCTTGGGCACATGTCACAACCCTTAGCTAACTATCCAAAACGCAATTATTTAAAATACAAAAAACGACTTTGCCTGAGCCTCCGGTTGGAGTCTCAGTGATTTGGAGCTGCTACTGGGTATCTCCTACAAGAGAGGCCTCCTATGGGGAGGATCCGTCTCTGTGGAAAAGCCCTGTGCGTCCCCTCGACATTACCTTTATAACTTTTCTATAGTTTATTATTATTATTATTAATAATTATTAAATAACCATGCACATGAGTGCAATTTAAAACAAATTGTCGACATAATAAAACACAGTTTTATGTAAAAGATGTTATTTTAAAAATTAATTAAAATTAGGAAAAATACGAATTTATATGAAGCATGACAATATAAATATTGATTATTGAGTGGGCAGATTAAGACGAAAGTTCAGAAAAAAAAAAGAAATTAAATAAGTAGAAGACGAGATAATGGAAATAAGAAAAATGAAACTAAGTGCGAGCCAGTAATTTTAAAACCCGAAGAAAGAAGATTAACCTTCAAACAAAAAGAGAAACATCAAAACAAACAAGACGAAACTAAAGGAAAAAGACATAAAGACAAACAAAACAAATAAACTAGAACTCACAAAATACCAGCGATTCAACTAGATGGTAAAAACTGTAAATATGTTAGGATTGCACTAAAAAGCGTTTATAAGAACAAAGAAGTTAAAATATGGTTTATCACCGACGATAAGTACAGAAAAACCAGTTCCCATCTAGACACGATAGGTAGCAAGCCTTATAATGCAGTTGTATGAGGTTTGCCGAAGTACACGCCGGTGAAAGGTCACCAATAAACTGATCAACGCTGGACTACAAGTGCAGAAAATGAAGTCAAAAAGACATCAGTAGACTCCTGATACCTGTTAGGCGTCAACTCTGTTAGGCCCATGTAACGTTGTAAAAAACCTTGCGCCAAGAGATTAGACAACCCTCCGGTATAGCGCAAATACTGTTGTAAATTTAAATTTATGGGTAAGTGAGATTCGGATAGAATTTAACCAACAAGTTAATGGTACTGTCTTTAGTTAAAAAGATTAAAAAACAAATTAAAAAAATGCAATTTTTTGTTTTTAGCCGATTCAGAAATTCCAAACTCGATAGTAAGATAATTTTTAAAATGTATTAAACTTGGTATTATAAAAACTAAGCAGCCTTTTCTATTTAACATAATAATCATATATTAATGATATTTTGTACTAACATCTAGCCCCTTTACCAGCCCTAATGATCCGCCATTGAACGATATATTCGCAAACGAAAACAACTTTAAAAGTATCTCAACGTTTGCGTTTGAAGTCAAGTTTCATTCCTCGCAATTTTCTGTTTTCACAATTTGGTTTGGTCTTTTCTGTTTCTCAAACGAAATGAACCTGCTTTTGTTTCTTCTCTTTTATTGCTCTTAAAAAAGTTGAAGTGATTGTTTTTAAAAGCCCGTTCTTATTTGTAGTCATGTAAAAGTACTGCTAAAGCATATTACTGGAATATTGTGGCATACTCTGCATTTATTGGCTGTTTGCGGGAAAGTTTTTTATGTATGCACTCCTCAGAAGAATTTCTGGTGAAATTTTAGCAAAATAGACTATAGTAGTTATATTTTTAAGGTATTTTAGCAAAATTTTGTCGTTCAGATATCACGGAAGGCATATGCTTTTTTTTTCTCAAAGGAATAGACAAGGATGAAAATCTTTAGCATATTTTGATATTTTAAAAAGATTGTCACTTGAGCAAAAATAATGTCTGTCATATTATGAAGATTTTATGTCTGTTATAGCAGATACTTAACGTTGGACAGACTTCTAAAGAAACTAAAGCTAAGTACAGACCGGACAATAATCTCCCGGATACAGGTCAACAAATAAAAATCTTAGAGGAATTAAATATAATGATTATACCTTATCTGGATAATTATTCGGAGTATCAGGTAAGTTACAGAGTTAAATTATTGTAATTATAAATATTAATTTAAAAACGTTTCAATATATATTTAATTTTAAATTTCATTACAATATATATGTAATTGTCATGTCTAATTTTATAACCTAGACATTTCTATATCATTATTCGCTACAAACATCAAATCTAGATAAATACGCATGTGCAAAATTACATAAAATAAGCGTGAGAGCACTTGTTTAAAGAACACGAAAAATAACTAGGCACTACATAAACTATACATATTAGGGTACTAATTTCAAACCACACAAACTATTTCTTCTTTAAGGAAATATCAAATTGTATAATAATAATTAAATACGTAATTGTAGCAGAAAAAATAGAGCTCAGGAGTGATTTATTAACTCTCACAAAACCTGCTGCCGTAAAGTGCGGAAGCAAGTGCTCGCTAATTTCTGCGAATCTTAGCAACTGATTTTCCAAAACCGTTCCTGATAGACTTTCTTGGTGACTGTAGCAAGTTTTTACTATATTTTTGGACTGTATTTCAATTCCTTCGCAGTATATCACTAAGAAGATAATGGCCACCTACAAATGAGAAACATTATTCATTTAGTTACACTATTAATTATATTTTTATTATTAAACCGTAGTAACTGAGGAGTTAATAGGGGAAAGTTCTGTAATTTCTTATTTAAAAATAGTTTTGAGCATTTTGTATGTGCTTTGATAGTATACATATTTTTGTTGGTTTGTAAAAAGTTGTGTTAATAGTGTTACACTGGTTTTTGAAGACTCAATTTACTTGCAACTCAACTATACAATTTAACTTTAGAACTATGAACGTTATCGTATATCTATTACCAAACTGAAACTATGAAGTCATGATCATAGACTTACATAGCTCTTTTGACGCTTCTTAAACCGTCCAAATGTTTCTCGACAGGGACTGACATTTCTATACTGTTTTCTTCTCTTCATTCATTTGATCTTTTACTTATGACGACCGCAGCATACTGTCGGGTGATGGGTAACATTGCATTTCTTCATACGCAGGCTACTAAAGGGTGCAGGGTAGCATTCTGGTAGATTTTCATTGTTGCTTATATAGCTCCTTTAAATCTTTCCGAATCTTTTGCCTTTTAAAAGGAGATAGAAAACTCCGCCATTTTGAACCCTTATTACGTGTTGCCTACATCTTGGCGCAATATTTTTAATAGGTGCGTTTTAATCATCCGCTTCTGCTTCGGAATTGTCGGTTTTCTTGTTTTAATCTGACAGGTTAGAACGACTGAACCGACAATTCCGGAAGCAGAAGCGGTTGGTTAAAACGCACCTGATATTTTGCTTGCTGCTATCAGTGTCAGTAAATATTATTTTTGGAGTCACAGTTTATTGCTAAAAAATCAGTTAGCTCACTCGGACCAGTTGAAAGTTCCAAAATAACAACCACTCCAGGGATACAAATTCAGGATACGCAGAAGAATGCTGTTTTATTGTAGGCGGTTGTCATATATTGTATTATCTGAGTTGCGCAGTTTATAAACTGGAACATTGAGATAAAAAGTGCCGATGCAAAGTGAGCGATCTGATTCTTTAGCTATAAACTGTGTCATAGGGTTCAAAATGGCCGCGCCCTATGTTGGGCGTGTCGAGCCTCTCTCTTGCCCCGTGTTTCTTGACACGGACTGACATAACTACCCATTTTTAGACTGTTTTTACCTCTTCTTTCATTTAAACTTTTACTTATGACGACAACAGCACACTGTCGAGTGATGAGTGACATTGCACCTTTATTTGTACGTTTTCTTTAATAGCCGCAGGCTACTGCAGGGTGCAGGGTAATAATAGGGTTCTTCAGACCTGATTGAGTCATTGACAATTCCAAAAATAAGTGTGATATTTCGAGAATTTAAAATACGACCTCTAAATGTGTGTGTACTAAATAAAAACAAAAGCATTTCAGAATTTCATCTTTTCCAATTTCTGAAATCAGATAATGGTTATAGCGAACCCTAATAAAGAAGATACCATTACGTCACACTCTGCGCATCGACGTCATTGTTTCAAAACAGCTAAAGTTCAAACCATTGGCTTGGGCTATTAGTTGTTGAAACGATTAGTAGTCATAACAAACCAATTTACTGGCGCGGCGCTACTGACACTATTCAAGAGCGATATTAGGGTCCGATAACAATTACTGTTACCTTGAATTTCGAATACATATTATCTACAACTATCAATAAATAAAAAATAAGTAAGTTGTAAAGTCTAAAACAATATTTTCTATATGCCTATAATATTAATACTCTACTAAATTCTCAGTAGGCGGCGATAACCAATTAATTATTTTGCCAAATGATGACGTAGCTGTATTCGTCTAATTGTGCATTGTAACTTAATAGTATCTTCTTTATTCGGGCTTGCTTTGCCCGTGTGTGCAAGATAAAAAATGGGGTGAAAACGGACCAACCGAGTTGCTCACAATTGCTCTTATTTGTACTTGTAAACTGAACCTTATAAGCTTATTTACTAATTGGCCGTATGTAATATTATTTCCTTACAGTAAGGAAATGAATATTTTCTAACAGTTAGGAAATCTTGACTTTTTCCCTAAAAAAAAATTGTTTGGAATGTCAAAATTTCCTATTGATTTGAGGAAAAACGTATTTTCCAGTATGTCGAATATTGAAGCATATAGTCCATCTCACAAATAACAATAATCAAATTGTATTCCATTCTTCAAACTTTTCTAAAGTCCTTGAGAACCGGGCTCGGATAAGTTAACAGTTTTCAGCCGATTTTAGTTCTCGTTCTTAAAATTTTCTAGAACCATTGCTTCGATTTTTAAGAATTGCTGCTTGAATAAGTAAACGTAAACAGTTTTTGATCAATGTTGGTTCTTGTTTATAATTTTCCTTCGCTTGTCCTTGATATAATTACATTACAGTTTCCATGAACCATAATCATCATCACGTATTTTCAAATAAACTATACCTTACACATATGAGAACAAGAAGATGAGACCATCGAGAATATCCTTTACGATTGCTCGACATTCTCATTTATTTGATTTGTATTCGGCGAGTATCGGCTAACACCGGCCGATATAAAAGAAGCACCTCTTGCTGAAGTTGTCAACTACATCAAATATGTAGGCTGGCTGATGAGCTAGGAGGTGCCTATCATCTAAGGAGGATGCACAATGGGCCTAGTGAGGCCTAAGTGCCATGGGGTAGCGCACCCTCTACACGTTACAGATACAGAGATACCTATGAGAAATTCTCCACTTATAATGTGACTCAATGTTGTTATATAGAATTAATTTTCACCGCTTTGAGGAACTCGGTACTAGCCGATAAAAGTATATTTAAAAATTACTTACAACATATATAACAGTGTGTGCTATATAAATAAACAGAGAAGAAAAATCAGAATCATCACCATCACCATATATCAAACAAACTACGCAGTATAATATCGTCGTTACAGTAGAGCACATTCCAAAAAATACATGCCACCCAAAAATTTTGTTCATGTAATTCGTAATTTTGATCAAATTCTTAAATAGAATAAAGGCGTCATTCAAATTTGGGCCTTCGTTTGATTTTACTATTAGCAGATTAATTCTTTGACTTCTTATTGTTGACTCTAGGTAGTTTCTCAGGAACGTGTATCTGTAAATTAATAAAACATTTGCTTTTGTAAGTTCACAATATTGTAGGTTAATCTTAGAGAAAGGTTAGGTACTCAAATGGTGTTATAGTAAAAAGAGATAAACAAAAATAAAGAGGAGCAATATTTTAAATGACCTTGTACAGGTATGGAAATGTCAAAACATTCTTACAAATTTATGCAGTAGAAAGAAAAAATAGAAATAAGTTATAGTCGCCATAAATTAAAGATAAAATAGTCTAAGAAGAAATAATTTAAACAATTTTAAAATATGGGTACAAACTCACAATAGAAGTACCAATACAGATCTAAAAAGTTTTCACTTATCTAAAGGGAGCTTCATCCCTTTTTTATTTAAAAATACCCCTTAGATATAACCCAAATTTAGTTTTATTTATTTTTTTCTTGCTAGGAAAACTTTCTATGTCCCATAACCTTTTTGCCTATCTCCAACCCAAATGTACCAAATGACTTTTTAACTTGAGAATTATTCTTAGTGTAACCAAAAATTAATCAGGCTATACTTTCTAAGGTAAATGTCTCAAACTTATATTCGATTCGGTAAAAAGATATTACAACCTATTTTAACTTCAAAAATAGGCAAAAATGTATGAATGTAGGTCTAGGCTTAAATTATGATATATGCTATTTCTGAGTTGTAAAAAATAAGACGTAGTTTTTTGGAAAAGTATGTAACCATTTTTCTAAACTGGACGAAGGTGGAATTGGTTCTAAACTCCTAATATTTGGGTGCCATTGAAACGAGAATTAAACGCCCTTTACATGATGTATCATTTGACCCCTTTTCTCATTTCAGATTTTAAAGGTAACATCTACGCCTCCTAGTAGGTTGAGCCATGAGTGTTAAATGTATTAATTCAAGTGAAATTAAAACTGAAAGTGAAACTGAAAGATCTGACATAGGAAAATGTCATTTATTTATTTATTTATTTATTTATAAATGTGGCAATCTAACAAGCAAATAAATTCCCAATTATAAGGTTGCCAAAAATAATTTACACATTTTCATGATCAGTACATCATACCAGAGACAATCCAGCGAGACGTGTAACTCAATGTATTTTTTTTGTTCGATAAAAGTTATTTGGGCGATTGTAACCACAACCAGTCTATGATGGCGCCACTAGTAAATAGCGGGAAAATTAAAAATGCTTTAGGGCGGGAAATTCAAACATGGATTCAGAAATAAAGTTTTTCTATACAAATTTACAGGAGAAACAAAAACTATTGTTTCACTGTATATTAAAAAAATATAAAAGCTTCCAATAACATCAAATTTTTTATCACGTAAATAATCATTTTAATAAAGGAAGTTTTAATCAGTATATTATAAACAGTGAACATAGTTTTTATTACTCTTGTAAATTTCGCTAAAAAAAAACTTGAAAATTCTATTGATTATTAAATATTTAAACTTGGAAAAATAATACACCAAACTCTTTTTCTATAAATTATATTTTTGTAAGGTACAGAAAAACAAACTACAATTGTTTCGTTTAGAAAGTACCTCGTATCATTTTGTGACAAATTACAAAGAAAGTAACAGTTGTTATATATTCATACTATATTTAAAAACTAATGTAACAAATATTTTATAAAGTATAGTATCGATACCTTTTTGTCAGACTATCATAAGTGCCATTTGAACAAATGTCACTTATGTTAGTCTGGCAAAAAGGTATGGATATGTTATGACTGTTTATTTTAATAGAAACCATGGAAACGAAACACACATACACTCAACACAAATGTATAAGGCCCGAGTCAAGTAAGTTCCCATCCTGTAAACTGGATCGAAACCTGCTAACTCCTCTTATAGTAATCAAGATCAATAGATTTATATGCCATGCCTTCTAAAAGGGAATGAAGAATGACATACTATCATCATTTAAACAGGACGTTGCTGAAGGCTTACCCCTGTTATTTCGTTTTTGTGTATCTTGTGTGTGTGCATTCCTGTTGTGTCATGTAAAAGTTTTCCTAGTCTCCTAATTTGGTGACTAGGTGGACCTTCTCCAACTAGTAATCTAATCTATTCGATCTGTTCAGAAGCAGGAGGTACTTTTTAAACATAGCAAATAATATTATTAATAATAAACACTATTTAAAGATAAATACATTTTTGTAATTGCCCCTTACCTTTCTCTTACACCACCAGGGTATACCAATTTTCCATATTCCCCTTGATTATAGATTACCTTACAATGTTCGAATGAATATAACATTTTACTCATGAAAAATCTAATTTCATATTTAACTCTTTTTCAATTTCATTTAAAACAATAATTGGTACCTATATTACAATTTATTATCAAAGAAAATTTCTAATAAAGTTATAGCAAATCCTACTTAAACTACTGGTTGTTCTGCAGGATAAATTAACTTTTCTTGAGATTGATCGCTCTATAAAATCCAAAACCGACCTGATGTCCCCAAATTTATTTTCCAATGCATCCTAATTTAAAATTCTGCCCTTTTGTGATTCAATTTTTTTTCTTCCTTTAGAGTGGCTGTTAGAGGTAGGTGTATGTAAGAAATAGCTAATCTCTAATCATTTCAAAAGTCCTTTGCCAATACTACATGTGCAGATTTTTTACTAAGCATACATTTTACTTTTCTAGGAGATAGGAACTTTGTGCTGCCATTGAAGCTGTCCAGACATTCATCTACCTACTTAATGAACACAAGTAGCTGTAACAATGGATCTCTGTTCCAATTCACCCAAAATAATTATAGTCATTGTGTAATATATTATTAAACACACACATTATACAGTGGTTTTCTTAATAAATTGGAAATTACTTACCTCTAGAAAGAAATGTGTACAAAAACGCGAGTTTGGTTCCAGAAATTGCTTTATGCAAAAAATATTATGCAAAAATAAACATTCCCCCCAAAGAAAATTAATTAAACAACAAATAAAATGCACATGTTCATAACAACATTCATAACATTGTCAGTTGTCAGTTTTAATACTTTTAATCGATATTTCGACGTCAAAAACACCAGCAACACCAGCGCCCTCTGAAAATGGTGTTAGTTTTATTGGAGAGAGATAGACATATGTAAAGATCAATGTAAAAGAAAAAGAGGGTCATATATGTAATTTAAATGGACCACCGAACATATTTTCCTATTAAGTTACACGTCTCTGTTGTCTCTGATCATACTAACTTAATACTGAAATTAACCATAAAATAAAAAAGTTACAACAGTATATTAATATTTAAGGCGCAGGTTTAGTTGATAACTTAATAGTTCTAGCATTTTGATAATATACATGTTTAGTTTTATCATTTTATTTTTTGCTTATTCATTTTTATTTTTATTTTTTTTTTTATTTATTTTTTTTTTTCTACTCCAAGGTACAACGCTTGGTGCGGCCATTTCGAGTGTTTTTTACAATGCTAAATAGGAGGTACATCAAGAGAGAACCGAAAAAGCAGAGTGCCTTATGTGTACAGAGAAACATAAGCCAGATCAGGTGGCCAAAATATTGATTGTAGTAATATTGCAGTCTTGTTACCGGAGAGTTGTTACAATAGTTTGTTAACGCTGAGTTATAATAAAAAAGATTAGTTGAGCGAGATGTGTGATTTTTCGCGTAAAAGTTTAAGTTTTCTAGTGTATACACAAAGTCAATTTTGTTGTTTATGAGTTTGTAAAGAAATATAAGATGAGCAACAACTCTCCTTAAAACAAGTTTATTTTGTAATGTCGTAAGCTAAAATCAAGAATTATATTTCTATTAAACCCCTGAGGTTATGGGTATAAAAGGTGAGTTTTTATTGTTTTGGCGAATAGCTTAGCTTCTCTTCTCAAATTTGAAAAACGGTCATAGTAATTTTGATTTCTACAGGGTGTCTGTAAAAGGTCTTTACAAAAACATACCACATATTCCTTAGACCAAAATAAGTCGATTTAAGTAAAATTACCTTAGTACAAAGTTGCTTCGTTTGGGCTCCAGAGGGCCTTGAAATTACAATTTTTAAATCGTTTTTCCCATATAAATTTAAAACGGCATATGCGATTTTGCTGAAATTTAATAAATTGGTAGAGTTTTATGTGGCAAAAAAAATGGTATTAAAATTTTGTCCGATAATAATACATAGGAGTAGAACTTGATTTTTTAAATAATTGCACTTTTAAAAATTCTACGCCAATGGAAGAAAAGGAGTTTAATTATGAAATTTAGATTGCGCAACTCATTTACTTTAAAAAAGGTACTTTTGATAAGACTCGATTACTCTCATGGTTTTCGCTAAATTTCTGTTTTAATAATTTAGAGTGTATAGGTTTCACAAAAATATTTATTTACAACATAATCAAAATAGAGATTTTACAAAAATTGTTCAAAATGTTCACCATTTTCACGCATACAAAGATTTATACGTCGAAGAAAATTAAAATGTATCCTTTTCATAACTTCTTCATCACCTAGAAGATTGTTTATTGCATCTTGAATACGTTGCCAGAGTTGTTCCTCATTTTCTACAGGTTCCCTGTAAACTGTGGATTTCAGATGTCCCCATAAAAAGTAATCCATCGGTGTTAGGTCTGGGGAACGTGGTGGCCAGTTTACAGGTGCGTCATTACCTCTGATTATCCATTTGTGTGGATATTGTTCATTCAAGTGGTTTCTAACGTTTAAAGAAAAATGTGGTGGAGCTCCATCTTGCATAAACCACATATCTCTCCGAAGTTGGAGAGGTAAATCTTCTAACAATTCTGGCAACGTATTTTGTAGAAAATCCAAATAATTTTCTCCAGTTAATCTTCGTGGAAGTATGACAGAACCAACAATGAAATTACCAATTATTCCAGCCCACACATTAATTTTGAATTCGTGCTGAAAATGGTTTACCTTTATTGCATGCGGATTTTCAACGGCATAAACATGTTCATTATGGGTATTAGTTATACCTCTTCTTGTAAAACCCGCTTCATCGGTAAAGAGAACCTTCTTGACAAAGTTTGGATC